CGTATTATAGCGACTTGATATAAAATTAAGATAAATTCACATTAGGTAATAAACTACTTAGACCAAATAGAAGAGAGTGCACATAATGTAATACTGAGTTGAAATTATATAAATGTATCTTAACACCACGTAAAAATCTTTTGACATAATGTCACAAAGAGCTGATATAATGCTATGAAAGTTTGACGCAATATAATTGAAGTGTTAGTAAATGTCATAAAAAGTTAACATAATGTAAAAGAAAATTGTCGCAATGTAATAGTAGTGTGTGTAAATGTCATAAAGAGTTGACCTAATGTAAAGGAAAGTTGAGATAATGCAATAGTAGTGCTAATAAATGTCACAAAGAGATGACATAATGTAATGGAATGTTTAGACAATGCAATAGTAGCGTGGATTAATGTCATAAAGAGTTGACATAATGTAATGGAAGGTTGACACAATGCAATAGTTGTGTGGGTTAATGTCATAAAGAGTTGATATAATATAATGGAAGGTTGACACATTGCAATACTAGTGTGGGTTAATGTCATAAAGAGTTGACATAATGTAGAGGAAAGTTGACACAATGCAATACCAGTGTGAGTAAATGTCATGAAGAGTTGACATAATGTAATGGAAGGTTGACGCAATGCAATCGCAGTGTTCTGCTATAAGGCAGTGACGGCGTTCCATACATTCCTTCAAAATGGTTACATACCATTCAAATTATTACGAAAGTTGTATGTACATTGTAATTTCATTACACTAGATAGTCTTGGGTTTGTCAACTTCAGGTCTAGATCTAGTAAATAAAAGGTGCCTACATATTTTCTCTTATTCCAGAAATATATTGCCATTAAGCATTATAAACCAAAAATATATGAATTGAATCAAGATTATGTTGGCATGATTGAATTCTGTGAATTTCAAAATGCAGTATTTTCTACCATTTTTATTGAAGCTGTCAAGTACGGGAAAAAGTGGCATTGAATTAATTATGACGTCTTAATGGGTTAGCACAGGTTTAACACATTTACAATTTATGATGTTATACGAAGTAGGTTCTACGTTAAAAGAAATGTAATGAATACTGTGTGCTAAATCAAAAGTTTATGTCTGCATGTATAGTTTTTGCATTAGAATGACTGTGTATTTTACACTAGCCCATAGTTTACAGAGCATATTTTAGGTCTTATACTTACCCCACCCCCTTTCTTATTTAGGAGGAAGTCGATATTGAACAAAAGCAAAAAAAAAAAAAAACCACCCTACGTTTATTTTTCTATAAGAAAGGAATTAAAAATAAGCTAAATATAATCTACTATTCTACTAATTTTTAACTGTTACTTTGCCACAATACTTTCAAGTATACCTCCACCAACATTTAAACTATGCTTTAATCATGGCAAAGTAAATTATGATATGATAGTACTTGTGTGAAGGCTTAACTTCATTTCAATATTTTATCCAGAGCCTCTTTCAGAATTATTGAAAGGTATAGAGTTTTACTTATATTTCTGCTTTTCATTTATTATTATTTTTTTGTTTTGATTTAAGTAATGTTCTTTTTTTGGGGGGGGGGGGATAAAAATTTCTTCCTCTTTCATTGTCAAATAGGATTTGCCAAACTTAAACAAACTAAAAGTTGAAATGCCGGAAAAATTAATTTTTCCTATTAAAGAGTATTTAAACCTGATTTTTGCATGGTTTGATTTCTAAAAACAAGTGGAATATCATTCTTTAAGCAAACTTTATAAGGAGGAATATTAAAAAGAAATTTTATTTACTTGACAATGAAAGAATCTTTTTTCAAACACAATTTTAGCATTGAAAGACTACGTGAATCTCTTAATTATTTTATACGACTTTTTGTATTTTTCTGGTTACAGAAAATGTGAAAATTAGTTTCCCTGTAAAAAAGATATCAAAGAGTGTATGTTTTGTATCACTTTAAAGGGTGTCATTTTTCAATGGGGGTCATTATCTTATAGGACTAACATATAAAATAATGACCCCCTAGGACCCTTTTTCTACAAAAAAATTTTTTTTTTCTACGGGTGGGGGTCATTTTTTGTCGTTGAAAAATGACCCCCCGGTCATTATTCGATGGGGGTCATTATTCGTCTTACACCGGCTGGACTTACAAGGGCTCAGCGATGCATTGCTAATCATTAAACGATGTTCAAGGATAATCGGCCGATGTATATTACATCGCTAATATATTGGTGAACATCGTTCGTACATTGGTCGACTTCGGTCCAATGTTTGATCGAACATCGACCGATGATCGGCCGTTGTCTGTTGCCCTCCACTCAACCCCCCGATGACCTCAGATTCAACGGAAATTGGACGATGCTCGGCCAAACATCGGCCGTTCCTTGAAAGATTTGTTAATGATGGATTGCCGATGAGGAGCGATGTGAGGCATCGTTGGAGACATCGCAGAATTTTAACTACGAGTTATTTCCTACCGATGACCCGAACGATTCGCAAAATTGCCTCAGACACCGTCCGATCACTAGTGGCGTCCGGCCGGCAATCACGCCATTTTTATCAAAAAACGCATCGGTTTCCCATCGTATACCCCATCGCTGGATAATGTGACTTATACTTTACACAACTTTGTGTCTGCCCATTTAAGTCAAAAAATGCCTCGGCTTGCATCGGTACCGGTCGATTCCCTACTACACGTACAATTTATCTCATCTGAAGTGTTTTATTGTTCGATGATAATGAAGAATTATCTGAGGTTTGTCGAATGTTACATAAACTGGTGAAAAAGAGAAAATATAACTGTACGGTGACCTACAAGTTTTATAAATATGTGATCTTTTGCTCTTGTAATGTTCCTGCTTTTTTTGGGAAATGTGCAGTTTTTTTCTTATATTTTTCACATTAAATCCATGATCTGTTTGCGAACCACTATGTGCCATAAAGCTATCAAGTTTGAGGAAAGATTTTTAGCATAAAGGTCACAGTCAAGGTCACAAGGTCATTGACCTTGGTGTCATTTAATAGAAATTGATTAGTGAAGTATGCATACCAAATATGCAGACTCTCTCCTATGATTCAAAATTATGGCAAAGGTACCCCCAAAAAGCTATTTTTAGCATATGGGTCACAGTCAAGGTCACAAGATCATAGACTTTGGTGACATTTAAAAGAACTGAATGTGTGGGGTATGCATACCAATTATGAAGTCTCTATCTTTCATGGTTCAAAAGTTATGGCGAATGTTAAACTTTGCAGAAAAGAAATCTATTTTTATGCCCCGTAAACGAAGTTTCAGGGGGGGTATATAGTTTTTGTCTTGTCCTCCGTCTATCTGTCTGCCTGTCTGTCTGTTTGTCTGTTTGTCTGCAAAAACTTTAACCTTGCCCATAACTTTTGATTTGGTTGAGCTATGACTTTCATATTTCATATGTATATTCCTTGTGACAAGACCTTACTTTGGGTACCACCAACTCTGACCTTTTTACCTTAACTTTGGAGTTTGACCCACTTTTACATAAAAAAATTTAAACATTTACTTTTACTGGCCATATCTTTTGAACAGTAGATATCAGGACATTTATAATTCACATATGTAATGTTTGCTAAAAAAACTTACATCAGATACCAACAACCTTGACCCTTTGCCCTTGTAGATTTCCGTACTTGTGAAAAAAACTTTAACCTTGGCCATAACTTTTGAACAGTAAGAAATAGGGCTTTCATACTTCATATATGTAATCCTTGTAAAAAGACCCTTCATTGGTTACCAAGAACTTTGACCCTCTGACCTTGACCTTTGATATTGACCTACTTTAAAAAAGCAAACCTTGACCATAACTTTTAAAGAGTTAGGGCTAGTGCTTTCATACTTTACATATTTGATTCTTATGACAAGACCTTTCATATGATAACAAGGACTTTTTCAATTTGACCTTGACCTTGGAGTTTAACCTACTTTTAAAAAAAATTAATATTGGCCATAACTTCTGAATGGTTAGGGCTAGGGCTTTCATGCTCAACATAAGTATCCATTCTATGCGACAAGACCTTTCATTTGACACTAATTACATTGACCTTTTGACCTTGGCCTTGGAGATTTTTGTACTTATTAAAAAACTTTAACATTTGGCTGCTTTTAAATTTCACAATTGTTTTCCAGTGAGAATACCCTACTTTTGGTGCTATTTAATTAAATTTGTATTTAATAAAAGCTTAATCTTTGCTATGTTGCCATACGGGGGCATCAGTGTTTCACAAACACGTTTTGTTTTTTTATACAGTTCAAAGTCAATGTCAAAATGTCATTGACTTAAATGTTGTTTGAAAGAGCGGAATTAGTTGAGTATGCATTTGAAATATGGAGTCTATCTTTCATAGTTCAAAAGTAATGGCGAAAGTTAGTTTGCAGACAAACAGATAAACAGACAGACAGACAGGATAAAATCAATTTACGCCCGAGATCTTTCGATCCAGACGCACAAAAATGAACAAGATTAAAGGTGACCCAAAACATTTTTTTCTGACTTTAGAAAGTGTTTCTGATATATATTTTGTGAAAACAAAGCTTCATATTATAAAGTATGTTTAGATTCTGGAATTTTTGGCATTTTTTTTTTCTAACTTAAGGAATTGTTTTTTAAAAGTTTGGCTGTGAATTTTAAGTTAATTATCATCATAATTTACAAATACATATTCAATACAGATATATTTATATGCTTATTTCCGTAACACGATAAGTATTTTATAATCAAATTCCGGTTTACAGAAAGTCACTGATCCGTACCCCCCCCCCTCACTTTAGGAACCTAACTTTCAAGCTACCCGTCCAAATGAATTTTTATTCGGTAGGATAGATATTTGTGTAAAGGTGTACATATAAAGATAATAGCATTAGAATAACAAACATTAACTCGTCATTCTGTTTAAAAAAAACCGACCCGGGGTGTTGGTGTGAGGGGTCAACTGCTGGGGATCGATTCCATGTTTATAAATCTTACTTCAGATGGTAGATTGTGGGGATAGAGATGGGGGTAACCATAAAATAAAGCTGTTCATTCTCTATACACAATTTCATTCTGATAGAGACTGCGTGATCGATACAACTAGAGATGAAGACTACACTGACTTAAATTACTATGTCAAGGTTCCCTGTGCATGCAGCGTACGCTTTGTGTAGTTATTGAACAATAAAAGAAATACACATACTCAATACCGTTAAGAAATTGTTTTCAACACTGTGCAGAATACGGTTAAGTTTCATGTATTGTGTGCACTGTTTTATTAATAGAAAAAACGTAGCCTCTCTCTCTCTCTCTCTCTCTCTCTCGTGCATATTGTAAAAATTTACTGTAAAAATCCAACGTTATAAGCAGTTTCATGTATAAACCTGAATAAAACATTTCAAATATATTAATTTTTTACTTTGTTTTCTGTAAGCTTTGTTGTCGATGATGTAAATGTCGTTGTGTGGATGTAGACCTATACAGGATATCACGACGTCAGGTCTCCTGTATCTCCAGAGCCACGTCACGTGATCAACACTGCCCTGTGATCTTCCAATCTCTCACCAGAGGGTGTTGTATACGCTCCGCTCCAACGATGCCAACATCCGATTACGGGAGGAGCAAGAAAGTGCTTTGTTATATTTGATAGAAAAAAAGGGTGATTTATTAGTCAATTTACCTGTAGGTTTTGGAAAGAGTTTAATTTTTCATCTCTTGCCGCAGGCCTTAGGAGCCAATAAGTCTTCCCCTGTTGTGATTGTCATTTCCCCACTTAACATCATTCATAAAGATCAAATAGAACAACTTAAAAGTCATGGTATTTCAGCATGTAGGCTGAATATTTGCTCCAAAGTGGAGGAGACAACAGACGAAAGTCATGAAATGGGTCAATTTGACCTCGAAACAAACGTCGACTTAAAAAACGTAGCAAACGGTCAGTTCTCTGTGGTGTTGTGTCACCCAGAGGCCCTCCTAAATACTAGGAAAGGATATTCCTTATTGATTGATCCAGTTTTCAGGGATAATGTAGTTTCTGTTGTGATCGATGAGTGTCACATAATTGAAAAATGGTACGTATCTCATTCATCTTGACAAAACACTATCATGACTATGCATGAAAAAATTAAAACATCTGGCGAGATTGGGAATTTGCAGCTTACGTCATTTAATAATTCGACACGGACGTCTGAGAAAACATTGGATTGAAAATCTAGTTTGAGAATCATTTTCAATCCACCTGAGCTGTTTTAAAAGCAAAGTGTGATTGTATGATCCAAAAGACATATAATTTCAATATCCAATTAAATGCATGTTGTTTGAAATTCATATTTATAATATCAGTTGATCCCTTTTAGCCTATAATTTTAAGGACACATAAGAAAACATAGATTTTTTATCAGGGGATGGCCATTGATTCTAGAAAGGGGGCTGTCAAAAATTATTGAGTTAGAACATGCCTTCACATTTTCTAGGATGACAAGAGCCTTTCTTTAGTTTAAAATTTTGTCTTTGAACTGAAAAATGTTTGTCAACTTTCTAATTTTGGTTCCAGCATCATGCATTCAAACCCCCCCTCCCCCCCCCCCCCCAACACACACATACATGTACCAAACAGAAATCAGATATTTTTCCTTTTAGGCAGTTATAGGCATGAATTATGTGTGATTTCAAGAAAATTGTCCTTTCCTGAGAATGTAATTTGTTATGTATATACTAACAGAAATCAGATATTTTTCCTTTTATATCATGTATATTTCATTAAATCATTGGACAGAAACTTATTGTCTTATACAAATTTCAAACTACATGTATACCGAAATTGATATTATTTGTCTTTTGGGTCAATAAGTAACACAACCAATGGGAGTTAGCATTCTCCATCTCAAATATTGTATTAATGCAATGTGAAGAAGTACACTTGGATATAAAATTGGTTGGCTTATAGACTGAAAATTTTGACTTGAAGTCTCTTCCGAAGAGATGTCAGGTAAAAATTTTCAGTCTCGACGGATCTCAATGAGATTATAATAATCTGATCTCAATGAGATTATAATTATTAGATCAAAGCCTGTGAATCCCTAAATATTCAAGAGATTTGATCACGTACTTGCCAAGTTCACATCCCTATGAACTTTTTAACATTGTTATTAATTTCTTATACTTATAATAATACAGAAATTCACATTATTTTAAATTATGAATGTAGCTGTGTTTTATTTATGTACATTAAGTGCATTTTAAAGTAAAATTTTGTTTATTTCTCACAAGGGGAGATGAATTTAGAACTGCCTACAAAAAACTGGGAACCCTCAAGGTATTCTTCCCCGATGTTCCCTTTGTGGGGCTTAGTGGAACCCTGACTAAAGAACAAAAACAAGCTATTCCAAAACAACTCTGTTTAGAGAACTTTAAAGTCATTGAAACATCACCAGATAGACCTAACATTTTTCTTGAGAAAGAGCAAAAACAGTCTGGTACAGATGTTCTTTGTCAGTATGAACTAATTATTCATAAAGTGTGTGATGAGCTTTATGAGAAGCAAGAATCATATCCTGTCACGTTACTTTTTGTGCCCATATTTTATATGAGTGAAGCACTGAGATACCTAAACAGTATTTTTGGAGTGCAAAACATTTACAGTTCCATTTACAGTGCCTTATGTACTGGACAAGATAAGGAGGTCATTGATGCAACAATTGATGAATTAAAAAAAGAACATCCAAGAATCCGTCTAGTGTCGAGCACCTCCATATCGGGAATGGGTTTTGACCCAAGTAATGTCACTCAAGTGATCCACACCTGTCCCCCTAGAGATCTCTCTCAATACTTCCAGGAGGTGGGAAGAGCTGGCCGCCGAGGACAGCCAGCACGAGCAATCTTATACTACAGTAAACGTGACATTGCTCGCAATTTACCTGGAATTCATGAAAATATAATCGGTTACTGCAGAAATAACTCAAATTGTTTAAGAAATCAGCTTTTGTCTGCTTTTGGTTTTACAAAAGATGAAACAATCACTGGTTGTAAATGTTGTTCTCACTGCAAGTTACAATGCAAATGTACAATGTGTAACACTGATGTCTGATGGTGATATTTGTGCAAATTAAACAAGCAGTCCAATTCATTTGATTTTTATTTGCATTGTCATACCATACCAAGATCAAATTAAATCTATTCATCTTTGGATGCACATTCAATGAATTAAAAATTAATTATTTAAAAACGTGAATAGGCCTTCTCTAGATAGCATTTACACATGATACTGTAACAAGTACATACTACAATCCACAAGAATAAATCGTATCATTTACATGCTCTGGTCCGAAAAAGTCCATAATATTTGAAATGTAAATATAGTTCTTTGACAACATGTGAATTTAGTGCGGTTTTAACATCATTAATAAATGTATTAGTACTTCATAATAATTTAACCAGGATTTTTTTGTAAACACATTCTCTATTAACAATAAATCTGAGGAGGTAAATGGTGCATCATATGGTGTGTTTACCATAATTTCTAAAGATGGTCATCTTCACAGTCATCCTGATCGACTTCATCCTCTGCTTCCTCAACAGCTACTGCCTGTCCCCGTGTCAGTCTCCTGATAATGTGATCCATCCACTCCTTCATGTCTGGAATCTTCTCAGTGGCAACAGGTGTTGGATGGAGAGACGAGAAACCTTGACACTTGCGTCCAGGTGTGAATCAGAATGGTCGTATTCTTCGAAGTTCCCTACACATAATAGTCTGATCATTAATTGAGACTGTCTGAGAATGAAGACCACTTTTGGGCTTGATTTGCAAGCAACTGTCAAGCTGGGAACAAATCTCTGCAATGGCATCTGCTGATGTTGTGGCTCTTGATATTGATTTTTCAGTTTTGTTAGCACCAAGACTTTTGATTAGGCTTTTTTGGTTGCATACAGAATGTTCCTGAACTAAATCACTTTCAACACATCTTCCCTTTCCTCCAATGGTGTTCACAAATGATCCCTCCAATACTCGCAAACTTTGCAAAGGAGATAGCAGGTATTCTGTTTGGAGGACATAGTTCATATTTTCCACCAAGTACTTGCTTAGTTTCGAATGTGAATAAAAAAATGGAATGGCATACTTGCAGTTAAGTACTGCCCTATGAATATCCCCCACTTTAGCAGTGTCGTGCATTTCCAAAACATGCAGATACCAGTGACACAGAAGTATGCAGTAATTGTATACCTCATCCTCTTCTCTGTAGCATGTTTTTTCTTCAAAATGTTGAATGATAATCTGTTGTCCATTCAAATTAATGATACTATTTTTCTCCACTCTTTCTTGATATTCGTTTTTCTTGGGAATCAAATGAGGTGTTCCCACCATTCCATAGCCATAAGATTTCATGAATCTCTGAATCATATCAAAAAGATAATATTTCTGCTGATCTGTATCTTGATGACTCAGTTTAACAAAGTCTGGATGTTGTGGCTTACTGTCTGTTTCCTCCATGTCAAAATATTCCATAAATTGTTCCGTGATCATTCCCTCGCCAACTGTCATCATAAGGTCAAAATGAGGCTGAAACCGTCCTTTAACCTTCCCATTGACATTCGAGCGCTGCAGCAAGGTCTTGAAATACGCTAGAGTTGGTGGAGTGTTGCCATCTTTGTACAGTGCTTTGTAGGATTTCTAAAATATGTGACACATAATACTTATTATGCCCCCCTTCAAAGAAGGGAGGGCATATTACTTTGCTGCTGTCTGTCGGTACGTCGGTCTGTCGGTCAACTTAGTTTTCATTTATTTTCTTCGCAACTGTTGTACATACTGAAATGAAATTTGGTATACAGATATATCACATGAAAATCTAGGACAAATTCTGTTTCGGGTACCATCGCACGATTTTTGACAGAGTTATGCCCCTTGGACTTAGAAAAATTCCAATTATTTGCAGTTTCCTTTCATCTTCTTCACAAACGTTGTACATACTGAAATGAAATTTAGTATACAGATTTATAATATAAATATCTAGGTCAAGTTCTGCTTTGGGTATGATCTTACCATTTTTAACAGAGTTATGCCTCTTGGACTTGGAAAAAATTCCAATTATTTGCAGTTTCCTTTCATTTTCTTTGCAGGGGTTGCACATACTGTCATGAAATTTGTTATACTTATTTATCAGATAAATATTTTGGTCAAATTCTGTTTTGGGTACAATCGCACCATTTTACTTTGGTAATTTAATTGAAATTTAATTACTCTAATTACCTCAAGAAAATCTTGTTTGTTGTGCCACATTTCACATACAATAGGTTGCAAGTCATCTAGTCTCTTCTCAGGAGTTACAGACAAGCATCTGATAGGCTTCCTGTAGCCTAACTCTGGTCAGCTGGTCCCCACCGACTGGAACGCCAAATTTCCTCAAGACATCTGTGTTACCTGATGACATAATCAAATCCTTATTAAATAGATATATGTACATACATCTGCAACTCCACATGTATATTAATATCTGCATTTACAGATTGGTTGAACAAGAGTTGACATTTCTTCCTGACATTTGTTCCTTACCAAAAGCTTCTGTGAAAGTCTTTATTAGATGTTCTTCGTATGTGTCCATTATACACAGACAGTCCTCATGTTTGGCCTCGTTCCTAAACTGAATAGGTAGTGGATAAACTAGCGACTTTGTTTCCATTTTCTTGGAATATTCATGGGGCATATGGTCTGGAATAAGTTTCTTGTAGCACTGAAAGGCAGGCAGCTTACACAAGATCCTTGCTAGTAAAATGCTATATGCATACATGAGTCTCTCTTGTTGCAGACTTCCTGGTGTCAACAACACATCATCAGCTGTTAGCTTGTTTACATCAACATTTGGCTTTGTGATGGACATGTCCACTGTAGCAATCCGACTGAATATAATATTTGATGTAAAAAGGTGCAGATCTTGGTTTCTTTTTTCTGATGTAAGATGTGATGTTTTCACATATATATCAAGGTTATCACCTACAGAGAGCATTTTTTTAAATTTTAAAACATTGATGAATTTTATATCAATTAGGGATGTCAACGAATAGTCGACTATTCAACTGTCAGTCGAATGGGCCGACGATAGAATAATGAAACAACATTCGAATATTAAATAAATGCAAGAAAAGGGGATGAAAATGAAATTTTCATCTCAAAATTTAAAAATGGTCCTTCCTCAAACTTTACAATTGTATATTGTACGTCCTCAGACGAATAAGAGCTCTAACACAGTCACATTATATGAATTCCACATTGTACATATGGAAAATACAGAAATTACATACCGCGATAATTATTTTTCAATCACTGACTTTCTTTGTTATTGTACGTAGTAAATAATGCAACGCTACACTGGACTATGAAATTTAATTGACTTGTACCAATTATATTTATAAACTCTAGTAATTTGAAATGCTTAGGAATAAACAGTATTTGCATAGCTGTGAAGTTTTAAATTCTATAATTATTAAAACAATAATCTTACATAAAAGACATTTTAATTGATACTCAGTATATAGCTTGGGCAATCATTAATTGAACAAACAATATCTAACATTTTTATCGGAGGTGTGGATAGTCTGTGTTTACAATTCACCATTTCCAATTTATTTCAATTTTCCATTTTTATTTTAATTAATAAGCTCTCAAAAACACTGTGCTATAAACAAAAATAAATGCTCCGAATAGTCAACTATCGTTCGAATAATGCAATCGAATGTTCGACTAAGGAAAATTAATATTTTGACATCCCTAATATTAATGTAATTTTTTTTTGTTTCTACACTCTTATATTTTAATTAGACTGTATTTGATGAATACAGTATTATTACTTATTCTGTACTATACAATAATTTATAATTATGAGTGAAGCAAAAAATATCATCACAATCTACAAAACAGGTTGAAGTAGACAAAATATTTTTAAATATGAATTTTATAATTCCCCCCCCCCCCAAAAGTATCAGATTTCTAGTTCAGCTATTTATAATACATAAGAATAACAAGAGGCCCAGGGGCCACAGCACTCACCTGAGCACATCAGCTAGGAAAATGCACATATCAGATCAGAATTGAAAGTTTACTGGGTGGGGGGGCTTGAATTTTAACCCCCCCCCCCCAGGGGGTCATGATTTGAACAAACTAGAATCTACACTACCTGAGGATGATTCCATTTAAATAGAAAAATATCACTAATCATGGCTTTGAAGTAACTGAAAAGAAGATTTTAAAAGGTTTCCCTATATATCCATATGTAAAATTTTGGTCGGCCATTTTGGCCCCATCCTAGCCCCAGGGGTCAAGATTTGAACAAACTTGAATCTACACTACCTGAGGATGATTCCACATGAGTTTCATCTTTTCTGGCCCAGTGGTTCTTGAGAAGAAGATTTTTAAAGATTTTTCCTATATATTCCTATGTAAAACTTTGGTCGGCCATTTTGGCCCCACCCTAGCCCCAGGGGTCATGATTTGAACAAACTTGAATCTACACTACCTGAGGATAATTCCACATGAGCTTCATCTTTTCTTGCCCAGTGGTTCTTGAGAAGAAGATTTTTTTTAAAAATGCCATTAATTTTTCTCTAATTCATAATTATCTCCCCTTGGAAAAGGGTGAAGACCCTTGATTTGAACAAACTTAAATCCCCTTCAACCAAGGATACTTTGTAGCAAGTTTAGTTGAAATTGGCCCAGTGGTTCTAGATGAAAATGTGAAAAGTTTACGACAACGACTACGACTACGACGACAACGACGACTACGACGACAGACAACGGACAAATTTTGATCAGAAAAGCTCACTTGAGCCTTCGGCTCAGGTGAGCTAATTACTAAGTATTGTATTGTTTAAAACTATTCCCCTCTTTAAAATTGTTTCCTTTGTTATATCTGTAAAATTTCATTTTTCTTGTTTGGCGGTCTTTGCTAGTATTAATCATGATAATTACTAATACAAACAGTGCATTTCATTAAAACATTTTAAATCAGAAAGAAAACTCAATCTATTGTGTCAGATATAGGACTGAGACAAATTATAGTCCCAGGCACAAATTCCAACTTACAGTTTGCAGAATGG